TGTTAAGATGGTGAAATGGAACTTCTAGATTCAAAGGCAGTATACCTTTGACCAGTGATGGCATTTAGAGTGAAAAAGAGAGCAAAATCAATCAAGTGTACACACTATCTGAAAATTTTTAGAGGCATCTAAGTGCCCACTGCTGGATGCAGAATGATAGACAAGACTGACATTACCCTTGTTCAGAAAGACTGTTTGTTTGTTTTTATCTATATCAAGTTCATCACTTATCCATTATTTAGGGCTCAAGTGTTATTTGTCCTTCAAACTATCTAACATTACTGCCCTTTCCAGCTGCCTACTGTTATGATTACTAAGAACATCTTTTAGGAGATTGCAGTGCTCTTCTATTCTCTTTCCATCAGGCCACAGCTTGTCATGAGGGTTAGTGACTGGGGTGCAATTTTGTCTTTTGAAGTGTTACTTATGTTGGGTAAACTGTACTTAATCTGTGAACGGAGCAGCATTAAGATACTTGCAAGATTGCTTGAGAAAAGGTAGGGGGTTGTAAGGATTACAGGAACTGCCACAGATCACAATGGAGATGGAGAGAGGCTCTGTGTCGGATCTCGTGCAAATTGCTTGACTTGTCCATACTTTGCACTTAACCTACATGTGGCATTATATAACACAGCAACCTGACAAATACATGCGTAAGGATGCCCCATGGAAACCAGAATGTCATTCAAGGGAATATGTTACAAGGGATGTATTGAGAGTGATGTTCACATTCTTTGAGGCTGAGAGTCTTTCTTTGTTTAAGAAAAGAAAAAGCAATGGCAGTTTGGTTTCCAAGCCCATTATTGTAACTAGTACTCTAAAAAGTGGTGCCCGAACTGGACTTCCATAGCTTTTGGCACCCACGGTAATTAAAAATGAGTAATAAACCTACAACATGTTTCGATGGCAATGAGAGGCAGTGTTCACAGTGGTTCATGTGTTCGACAGAGACTTGGGAGATCTATGTTCTAGCCCCCAGTAGGTCATGAAGCTCTCCAGGCAACTGTTGGCTACTCACTGACTCTCTACAACAACCCCATGAGGTAGTTAGATTAAAGGTAAAATGAGGAGGAGAATTAGGTAAGACAGATTGGGTTTCTTGAAAGAAAAAGGAAATGATATAAACAATACATACATAAATTTGGTTTTGACAACTTGGCAGAAATCTAGCTCTGATATGAACATGCTTAGTGGAAGAATCAGGAATTGACCAAGCATATAAACTCCAGTTTCATCAGAGTAGATGTGAAACTAGATGTAGCTCAAGAAAATCTTTTTGTATTATCATTACAATAGATAAAGCAGTAATGATAATAAACTAAGCATCAATGAGAATTTTGTTCCATATTGATATTTATGCAAATTTATCATATATCCTAGTCAATAAGGATGCCAAGACTGAATGCATTCTTTTCTGAGCTTGGTAATGCTGCACACAAAAATGTGTGTACTGTTCATTTATGTATAACTTTTTTATCCCGTCCTATACAAAAGTTTCAAAACAGTGGTGGTGGCATACAAAATAAAATATAAATGTCTAATAAAAAATATAGGATGAATAAAAAGGTTTTGGCCTGGTGCCAAAATAAATAAAGGGCCGGCGCCAGGCACAGCTTTCCAGGGAAGATGCTCCTGAGTCAACTGAAAGGTTTTTCTCCGGGTAGCCACATTCTGATCTCCTTCAAAGAGGGCTCCCGAAGAAGGACCTCAGATACGGATCTTAGGGGATGGGTGGAAGTATAAGAAAGGAGACACTCCTTCAGATACTCAGGCCCTAAAACATTTAGGGCTTTATACATAATCATTAGCACTTTAAATTGGGCCCAGACTTCAACTGGTAGCCATTTCAGACAATATAGGACCAGTGTTATGTGAGAGATATCAGTCCCCATCAAAAGCCTGGCTGCTCTGTTCTGGTCATACTGAAGCATCCAGACTGTCTTCAAGGGCAGCTCCATGTAGGGCACATTTCAGTTATCCAACTGGGAGGTTGCCAGAGCATGGGTCACTGTTCCTAGGTTTTACTCATTCAAGTTAGGACTTAACTGATGGATCAGCTGAAGCTGATGGAAAGTACTTGCCACAGCAGTCACCTGGAACTCCAAGGATAACTCTGGCTCGAGGAGCACTCCCAAATTACAAATCCTGTCCCTTAGGGGGAGTGCAACCCCATCCAGAACAAGGTGAAAATCACAGAATGCCAAGCCACCCACCAGCAGGACCTCCATCTTATCAGGATTAGGTCTCAGTTTACTGGCCCTCATCCAGCTCATCACACCAGCCACACACTGGTTAAGGACAGTCACTGCCTCACCTGGATTAGATGTAAAGGAGAGGTAGAGTTGGGTGTCATCAACATACTGATGACTCCTCAGCCCAAGCCTCTGGATGACCGCCCCCCCCCAGCGGTTTCATGTTGAAGTTAAACAGCATGGGGGCTACAATGAACCCTGCGGCACATAATCCCCCAGCACCGCCTTCTGGAATTGGCCGGCCAAGTAGGAATGGAACCACTGCACATCCCCAACCACTCCAATCCCCAACTCAGCCTGTCCAGGAGGAGGGATTGAAAGCCGTTGAGAGGTCCAGGAAAACCAACAGGGACACACTCTTGCTGCTCCTCTCCCAGCAAAGGTCATCCTACAGGGCAACCAAGGCAGTTTCAGTCCCAAAACCAGACTGGAATGGGTCCAGATGGTCATTTCCTCCAAGAAAGTCTGAAGTTGTCTGGCCACCGACTGCTTGAGCACCTTGGCAACTATGATTCCTCTTGCTTTCCATCACCATTGCATGGATGGAAGCAAGAGGCAACTAAGAAAGGGGGCTGCAGTGGTGAAGAGGAAGAGCAGCCCCTTCTCAGCTGTGGGACCTTGGCATGCACCCATTCACACCTAACCTTGACTCCAGACATGCATCTATCATGAAAGCAAACATGCTTAACCTTCAAAGGAGCAGCATGTGCCAATAGCAAGTATGCCTCAGAGATGACTTAACTTTCTTATGTATCTTGCCATTTCTCCCTGCTAAAAATCTCTTCACTTTAAACCCCTAACTGGGACCTATTGATAATTGTGGTCATGTACACATCTCCAAAAAATGTAAGGAGGGAAAGGAAATTCATTACAAAACAGAGAGGGCAAAGGTAACAGAGATTTACATGTGGGCTGAATAAATCTCAGGATAAGTTTCAGCAGTGATATTCTCCTATCAAGTTGCATGGACACAGGCCAACCACCTCTCCCCACCTTGCCTCCATTCTGATGGGCAATTCACTCATTCAAAATACTGTTTATTCGTTCATTTTGTTTCCATGCTGCCCTTTAGATAATATCCTCCCAGAGTGCCTAACAATACATAAACACACACACACACACGCACGCACATGGAGGGAGGGAGGAGGGCTCCTAAATTATGCAGAAATGCTTTCTCATCTCTCATACATTACTCAACTAGAATCCCTTTTTTCCTTATGCACTCTGATATATCCATTTGCGTGTCTAATATATGCAACCTGATGTTACCAGTTCAGTAAATGGAGATAGCACTGTATCAAATGCATTAGATCCCAGGTTCAGGAAATACAAGGGCAGCATCCCCTTCAGTGTATAGGACTACATAAATAGCTATTTGGAACCCAGCCAAAGTGTATGTATAATACATATACATTCCAGTTGCACTTGCAGGTTCTGGAGCTAAAAGTATTCTCATGTTAACGTTAAGACTTAAAAGTAGCTAATCTTGAATCATTCTCATTATAAACTTACCATTACCTTCCTGCTTCAGAAGCTCAAAGTAAGTAAAATGTCAGGAAAGAGCAAATGGAACTGAGCTGAATTCAGTGGGTCTGTCTTTACGGGCAAAAGTGCATTTCTACTTGTGCACGGTGCCTTTGGATACAAGGCAATGTACAATCATTAATCATTATTCAACATATTAAAACAATACAAAACAATGCAAGCAGTAATGATACAAATACTGCTATTTTTCCAGAACAGCAAAGTAATAAAAAGGTGTTGTTGTTGTTTTTAAATACACTGAATAGGAACAGATAAGCACAGAGATGGATTACAAACAACCCCATAGAAATAACCTCAATAACTCCTTCCCATAACCTTCTACAGTTCGTCCCCTACTAAGTTCCATGAGAGGTAACTGAATTATCAACATGAAAGATGCTTTTGGAAAGAAGGGAAGTCAGGTTTGTTTAATGAGATTTAGTTAAACTAATGAACTGGGCAGAGCATTCTCATTCATTTCAAATCCTTCAATAAATCTTGCCTTTTTATCATTTGCACTACTTGTAAATATTTAGTTACATTTTATGTTCTCTTCAATTGTCCTTTCCTTCAACAAAAGGCTGTCCCTTGGTAGAAAGTTTTTCTTCTCTTGCTCAGTATTCCCAAGGATCAAGTACACTGAAGGGGCACTGTGCTCTTTGCTCAGATTCCCATTGGCTGGCAGTTAGAAGCTACAGTTCAAAACAAATCACTATATGCAACCCTCCCTTATTGAAGAGATGAAGGAAACTAGGAAAAGCTGAAGGAGAGCATTACTCATAGATGTGGAGCTGCTGTTGCATCACTTAGACATTGATTCATTGGACAATTAAAAATTACAACCATCACACAATAGCAACATTTGAAATTATTATTGTTACAAAGAGGCTACTACAGATAGTAGTGCGTGTGCATAATGATACTAGTGTTATGTCTGTGCACCACCTGCCAGTTCTTATGATTTCTATTAAACTTTCTGGAAACAGCTGTCTTTTCTTTCTTTCTTTTTTCCCCACCACATGACTACCTTTAAGCTTAAGTCCTGTTTAGTTTTCAACAGACTTGCCAGACTGCATTGTATGGAGTACAAAACAAATATTGACAGGTGGAAAGACTAATCTCATCCTTCAAGTCAGCTGCTACATCTTAAGGTAGCACCATTGTTTAAGCACCACTGTTGATTTACAAAGCATGAGATGGATGAATAACTAAGTAGAAACTTACCTCTTCCCACTGGTGAATATATCTTATTAATCTCGAGAGTCGTAATAAACGCAACAGGCTGAGGATTTTTGTGAACCGCACAATGCGAAGTGCTCTAGCTGTCTTGTAGACTTCTGAATCCATTCCCTTTTCTACAATGAGAAAGATATAATCCACTGGTATTGATGAGATGAAGTCAACCACGAACCAGCTCTTTAGATAATTCATCTTGATGACTTTGGGGTCCAGGATTATCTCAGAGCTGTCCTCATTAACAGTGCCAGTTCTAAAGTTCATGATCAGGTCCAACAGAAACACAGTATCTGATGCTACATTGAAAATAATCCATGGTGTTGTTGTCTGCTCTGTGAAGAAGGTGATTCCAACAGGTATAATGACAAGATTTCCAACCATCATTATAAGCATTATTAAGTCCCAGTAAAACCTAAGAGAAATAGAAAACAATTATTGAGCCAAAAAGATGTAAAATTAATATAACTATATTGTGTACCAGTATTTTTAAAATTACAAGAAAACTGACAGTAATACTGATATTTCAATTATTTATTTATTTATTATTTATGTTTCGATTTATATCCTGCCTTTTTCCTACAAAGGGCTCAAGGCAGCTTACATCATTCTCCTCCTCCATCTTATCCCCACAACAACAACCCTGTGAGGTAGGTTGGGCTGAGGGTCTGTGACTGGCCCAAAGTCGTCCAGTTGGCTCCATGGCTGAGCAGGGACTAGAACCCAGATTGTCTGAGTCCCAGTCCCATGCTCTTCACCACTACACCACAAAAAAATATGCTGTTCTAGAGAACAGAGTATGAGAAAGTGCAAGAAAGAATTATTTTAGTGTACTTCTGTTGTACTCCATGCATGGATACAAAACTACTGAGTTGGATCAAGACTACTCTCACTAAAATTGATGGGATTTAAATTAGTCATGACTAATATGTCCCACTGAAATCAGTAGGACTGATGCTTGAAATCAATGGGACTAAAGCATGACTGATGCAGACTCGAGCCAATTCATCTTTGAAATAAAGGGCACAGTATCTATCAGGAATTAACATCCAAAGCCTGTAGTCAGCATTTCACCCAGGAAAGCCTTTTTACCAAACGAACCTCCTGCATTTTCACACAGGGAATGGCCTGAAAGAAAGTGCAGCTCAACATTATGCAGCAGATATACTGGGGTTTGCCCTAGGAAATACATAAAGAATAAATGCTATAGCGGCAACTTCAAATGCTTAGATACACATGCTTGGAAAAACTTACAGAGCCTGCATTTAGATAGCCTGCAACTATATCAACTGTGCAAGAATCACAAGTATAGCTACAAAAAGCAAGTCTGTGGCATGAAACACGGTGTCTTCTTACCAGAGCACGGAGCTACAGGGCTGTTGAATAAAATAAAGGCCTTGGAAGACCAGAAAGAGTCTGTGGGGCTTCAGTTCTTTGAACCTGCCATCAAGTGATTACCAGTTTTAGACCTATAAAGTAAACTTGGCATAGCAAGCACAGAAAATATAAATGAACTCATTACTTTGTAACATAAGGTTCTCTGGGAGGGATACATTTGTTCTTCATAGAGGTTTTTTCCCCTGTTTTGAACTGTGTGCAAATTTCCTCTCCATATTCTCCACTCTGTGGGGAGAGAAATCGCTGAATGTCCCCATGGGGAAGGAAAGTCTCAATAATTTCTCACAGGCAGGGATTGTAGCTACTTTCTTGTTTGTGTGAGTGTGTCTGTTTTGTCTACAGCCGCTGGAAGCAGCAGCAGCATCCACTGTGTTTGCAAGCAGGCCCTATTTTGTATCCACCACAATGTAGGTATGAGGGGCACTGTGTTGTCCATCTCCAGGGAAAAGGGAGAGCTAGTGCAGGACCAAAATATGTCCTCTGACCTCCTGAATGTTTTCTTCCCCAATGGCAAATTCTTCCACTGTTCTGCATTTTTTAATCGTCTTATAATTCAGTTTTGTGGCTGTTTTCATCTCTCTTAATCCCTGTGAGCTTCCCAAGGGTGTTGTATGCAGTGCAAGCTTTCTTTCTATTATACATTTCCACACTGCTTTGCAACCTCCCAGATTACTTGTATTTCCCTCTCTGAAGATGCTCTGCGAAAAGAATTGCCTCTGAGGTCTTTCCCTGGGCATTCATGGGCATTCAGGAAGCTTCCAGAGAGAAGCGCAGATTAGGAAGAAGGACATGTAACACATTCTTTGGCTTCCTTATAAGAAAAGGACAAGAAACCTAATCCCAGTCTAGGTGATTTTCTTTTGTTTTTCCTTCTCAACCCATTGTTTTCCCCCAAAAGTAAGCTCTCTTCTATCAGACTGAAAGGGAATGGTTGACAAATGAAGGAGAATATTTTTGCACAGAGCTTCTTTTGTTGTTGCTCTTTTAATAAACTAAATTCTGCCAATAACATATTCATAAATGAAAGATAGGTTCTTAAAATAACCCCTCTTTGGGACCTCTGAAAGAATGAGTTGCAAGAGTCTTGGGTGACAAATTATGAATACTCATGTATTTTAAAATCATTCTGTAATTAAGGAAAGAAAAACATCAAAACTGCAAGGAATAAGCAGGGACAGAACCTTTCTCCCTGATTATGTAGGACAGCCATATACCTTACTTAATAGAGGACAGTTCTCTATTTGAAGCTTTGCTCTATTTGTCTATTCCAACTTCGGTTTACAAAGAAAGACTCCTAAGAAAGTAGCACTGGGACAACAATGTATACTGGCCACCTGGTCAATCTTCCCCACTATAATGAAAAATATGTATTTTTATTTCATTTGCAAAAAGCATGCCTAAATTGGCATCTATAAATTACATTAAATTAGTATATGCAGATTGGCTAAATTACTTTCAAGATGTCCTTTTCTTTGACAATATGTACATATGAGAGCAATACTGATCGCATCTCTCACTTCCAGTCTCCACATTATTCTGCATGGATGGACAAATCCAAAGTGATTCCTACCCACTTACCTCACAGTAAATCCCTTTCAACTCAGCAGGAGTGATTTCTTAGGATACATGTATAAGATTGTGTTTTAAAAGGTGTAGGACTTTTTTGGTAATGGTATTTCTCTGGCATGTGCTTCCAAGCAACACTTAGCAAGCCCATTCAGAGACATTTTAGCAGCAAAAGGTCATTGAATTTGTTTGTTTGATTTTTTGTTACCCAAAATCCAGACAGAATGTATTGACAGAATTTATTCAATTTCTAGTTTCTGAATTTAACAGTAATTTTATCTTCTTTCTTTCTATCTTAAACTTGCTGATTTAAAATGTTTTAAAGTGCTTAATGTAATTCTGCATTAGTCTGAACAGTTCTATTCTACAAAGGAAATTTCTGAATAGGTATAGACTGGAAGGTGGGCTGTACAAATCAATGGAATACATGGAGCTTAAAAGTAAGTCCAAGCTACATTTTTTAAAAAAATGCTGAGTCTTGAAGTTCATGTGCAACATTAAGTGATTAAGTGGCTTTTCCCGATGACAATGCAAAACAGATTTTTTTAATGAAGGTCTGGATTCTGAAGGAAGACTTGTTATGACAAAGGCTAAGAATTCCCATGACAAGAGTATATCCAGAGTTATATAAACATGTTCAAATTCTTTCCTTTCTTCCTGCCTATGATTGGCACATGAAATACTTTCAGCATTGTACTGATGAGTGAGCATATCATTTCATGGCATATTTAAAAAGATGGGTGGCATTTGGTGGATTTTTCCCAGCCTTCCTGTCAAAACCTGCCAATGTGTTTACATGAAAATGAACCAGAGCTTGCTGGTAATCATGAACACTTTGGCAGCCCAGTGAAACTCACTCCTGGATTCCCTCCAAATGCAAATGAAGCAAAATAGGTTTGATGAGAAATGGACAATGTATCAATTTTAAGATGAATGGATTTTCCAGTCATCTTCTTGGTTTCAACTCAACAGCTAGTATCTCATGGATATTATATCCCTTATCCACCAGGGAAGTAGAAGGCTGTTCTTCATAATAGGATGTGGTCATTGTGAATATTGTGCAGAAGGGTTGAAAAAGTGTCTGGGTCCACTGCCATAGCTGATCAGCTGAACCCAGTCCTAGGAAGCAGTCTGATAGACAAAATAAAATGCCTGTCCCTGCACTGAGTATACAGAACCCATTAGTTTAATGTAAATAGTTTCTTTTGGACTTTGCTCTATCCTGGAAGTGATTCAAGGCAGTTTACACTGAAATGATAACTACAAATCATTAAAGGTGAAGTCATCACTACAAATCCACAGTAAGACTGCAACTCCTGCTGTGAAGCAAAAGCTATGAAAAATATTATGGACTATCTTAATATACACCTGAACTAATGAAGGTTAGTTCAGGTGTATATTACACAAGGTTACACAAAGGAGGGTAAATGACTGTGGGAAGATATTTCTAATGGAGACAGGATAGTTTTAGCCACTTTAAATGTGGTGATAGCAAAGTAGCACATTTAGAAAACAGGACTTAGACTGGATGAGTTACCTGCTTAGCACACCCATCATGGCCTCTAAACTATGCATTCGGTTGTGCAACATTTCTGCTTTTCATGAATATTTGTTTAGCCATCACTGAAAAGATGATCTCCCAGGATGGAAAATGCACATCTCCATTCCAAACTCCTATGTGCACAAACGGGAAGTGCTGCATGAGTGCAGTTCGTCAGCAACTATTACTGGTCACAGCTAATGTGAAATTGCGTATTCGCGTAACGTAATTTACTTGGATTATGCTGTTAAGTTCACTGCAGAGTGAAGTGTTGCATAACCTCAAGAGGTATTATACTAAGACAGAGCACTTCACATTAGTGAAGGATGTGTGTTTGTTAAGCACAAGCAAGGAGGCTGTCAGAAGAATTTCCTATAGCTTGCTTGTTTTCCTCCTGAAGTCCAGACCTTCAAACCTATAAGGAATTGAGTCATTTTCCTACCTCAAATAATTTTACTCTGAGAAAAATGTCTTCCAGATCTTACCATTATTACTCATTAATAATGAGTACTTCAAAGGATTTCATATTCATTGTACAGAGCTTTAAGATATTCCATACTATCTCAGAAATGTTTGTCTTTTTAAAAGTACAAGCCTATATGTATGGATGTATGTATTTATTTATTAAATACATTTTTATCCACCAAAGAGCCCAAAGACTGTCTGTAACCACTCAGAAGTAAGGCCCACTAAATCCCATACAAGGGCGTACACGGCTGTAGTCTTACAGCTTCTGAAATAATCTTTTCAGTTCTTTTTTCACCCATCTCCACAGCAAAGCTATGAGTCCATCTTTTAATAGACCATTTTATAAATGGGAAATCGATTGAAGTCTTTTGACCCGAGTACTGAAGAAAATACCTTGCAAAGTATCCTTCACAAGCATCCTTTAAAGCTAAGTATGTGTCAGA